TTAGTAATGAATAAAAATTACTAATCTGAATGAATTTTCTCTTTTTGCTTTATTTCAAATCTCATTTTAAACCCTACTTATATTTTACAGAAAGCTGAACTTTTTATTTTTATATATTGTTAAGGTATGTTCTACTTTAGTATAGTAGATGATTTGTTCCTAAATTGAAACACGCAAGAACTAACCCCATCTGTATAATTACAGACAGTTGCCTACTGTTGCCTCTCAGAAAAACAGATTGCAAAGTTTATGGTGATACAGGCAGTGCAAGGGATAATACTTCGTTCTTATGGGAATATGACACTCCTACTGGGTATAATATGAAGATTATCTGTGACAATAATGATGTAAAAAGGCTAAAATTAATGTTATATCAAAATGCTACCTCATGACATTTACATTTACTATTCTTCCCGCTTGCAAGGTTCTTTCTTGAGACTATCTCAGTGCTATCTTACTACTCATAGTCAATTTTTTGCTTAATCATATTCGGATTTGCCTTCTCTCCTAGAACAAAGTTGGTGCTCTTTATGCCTATAATGGTCATAGTAGAGGATCTGTAACCATTTTTTTTCTTCTTCAATAATTTTATTGAGAAACAAATAGCAATGAAACAGTTTCAAATCTGATTAGTAGGACAGTTTCAATAATTAATACCTTGCATATTGTTGTCTTAGTGGTTATTCATTGTACAAGCTGCAGACATGATATCCTGTTTACAAACACTATTAGAACAAATCTTTCTATTCATTGAATTTAGAGAATGTAGCTGTTTATCTATCCTATTTTGAATATACACATACAAAATGTTCGATCATTTGTATCCCCTTTTTCGTTTAGTTTTCTCAGAGAAGGGTATTCCATTGCCATTAAAATATTATAGGTGCATGATTTCAGCAAAATATTCCAATATAGTCTAATAGTCCATAATAATAGTGGGTTTTCTGTAAGACTGGCAGTGTCAGAAGTTGTTGACTTGAGCCTTTTACAGCTCAGTGCATTAATACGGCTTTATTTTTTATACTTCATTTTTATACTTTTCTGCTGGATGGTTAAGACTAAGATAAAGCAGGACCTATATAATAAGAAATGTAGCTTTTGTATCTGATAAGGTCAGTCAAATCCCCTCAGGATTTATTCTGAACCCCTGTACTGCACTTTGTAGATCCTTTGTCAGTGTCAGCCATGTGGATGAGTCACGACCATTGCTTGACCAATTTGCTCTCTGTGAAAACCTGAGAGAATGTTTTTTCTCCATGTGACTCTTCTTAGGCATCATCGATCACTTTCCTCTATGGCCTCATAATCTCCTTGATCAGATAATTTGGGACACAACTGAGTTACAGGATGTTACAGTAGAGGTTCTCCTATGTCCTGAGTCTTCACTGACCTTGAAAGGCTAGGGCCAAAATTTTGGCTGTCCTTGCAGCCCTCCTTTTGTAACCACTTTATTA